TTAGTAAAAACTTCAGAGTACAATAAAAAGAGAAAAAAAAGGTGTAGAGGTGACATACCTTTTTAGCTTTCAGTACTGTTCTATTTCTTCTTTGGTGATTGCCGTTAACAAAACCCTTATGGGTGAGAACCTATTTTTCTCTATACTCTCTTTCTCTTTTTTTATTATTTTTGCCTCTTTCTTCTTCTCTCTTTTTTTCATCTGTTTCTCAAAACATTAATTATCATTATTGTCAGAAAATTTGTCCATTTTTAAAAATCATATTTTCCTCTTTAAAAGCAACTGACGCAACAAATTATATTAATATACTATTTTAATTATTGTTTATAATTATTAGCATAATATTGATTCAAATTATTACCATATTAAACTAACATTTCAAAACTATTGTGTCTGGTATTATAGTTATTATTTTATCCTTTTCACCCACCATTAATTATTATTCTCTTACTTTTTATTTTTATTTATTTACTTATCCGAACGAATTGGGTGTTGACAACTGCCCCTCTTTATTTAGATTTTGCTAGATAACATGAACCTTAGAGTTTTGGTATTAACATAGTAAAACCTAATATAAAAATAAGTCTTCATGAAGATCTTTCTACAATAAGAACACTTGAGACTTGACTTTGAGACATCATCAAAAATTCTGCTCTTTAGATTTATGTTAACAACTCTCATGTTTTGAAGTTTAATTAAATAATATTAAACGAGATAAGAGTCTGAAAATACCAAAGCCCAAAGAGTTGGATAAATAGAAACACAAATGCTAGAAACAAGATTCCCAAATCATCCATCAACATAGAAAAACTTACGGAAAAACATAGGAAAACAAGTATAATAAAAACTTCGAGACGCAATGCTAAACGACCTACAAGTCAAAGCGTCGAAAGAGAGTTATGCTAAACGTGTAAGCTATCTGTACCCAAGGGTATTCATTTAAACTCTTAAGAAGTAAAGGTGTCAAGACAATGTCTCTGACCAAACCCTAAGACTGACAAAAATTAAAAACTAACAAAGAAAGAAACATACTAAAGGCTCAAGCTCTAAAATGCAATATTCTAAAAAGCGTTTACATCAGCCTCGACAATACCATAAGCTAAAATCTTTACTTTGTCCAATGATGAAGTTCCAACTCAACAGTTGGTATCTTAGAAAAAACTTTATTGATAAACACTACCTTAACGATAGAAAATTGAAAAAACACTTTATTGTTCTGAATAAGCATTAAATTTCATTAAATGCTTAACATTCAAAAATAACAAAATTAATAAGAGATAAGACATATCTGTTGCATGCACAATCTACTATATTCTATGCAAATAGCTTACTACACACATCATTACTTTATTTGAAATATATCAAAGTCGACGTTAGAGACAAAAGAGACATTCATGAAATGTTCTCTTCATAAGAAGTGTCTCAAAGAAAGTACAATCTAATTCAAGCAAAGTACTGAAAAAGCATGTCTGCTCTGACAAGTTGACTTTAACCAATGGTTGCTTCACACAAAAGAAAGAGAAGACATAAGATTCAAGACCAAGAGCTCAGTTTAATGAATATCTTTTAAAAGAGCCTTTAAATAGAATATCACTCAAATGAAGAATCAAGAGGATAACACAAGAGGAAAACTTAAAACGAAAATATTCATCCTAGAAAAAGCGTTTTAGAAGAGAAGCACACAAAAACTTAAGCAAAAAAAATATTTGAGCAGAGAAAAAGAATAGTCAAGCAACACTATCTAGATTCACAATCAAATAATCAACATACAACCATATCATTCATAAACTCATCTTCTAACAACAACTGACGAGATACATTTCATCACACAACTCATCATAACTCAATCATGCTCGATCGTGACCCAACAACCAATCGTAACATAAATCATATAAATTCATTTCCCAACAACAATTGGCAAGACACATCACATTAATCGTTCAGTTGTCGACCATAACATCCTCAATCAAGTATACTTAAACACGTGATTTCACATGCGCATATCTCATCTGAGCCAACATTATGCATCCATAAGTTAATAATCCAACATTTTATTACTAACCACCATCTATACATAACCAACACATACATTTCATACCCTATGAAATTCCATCATATATTTTTCAACCATCAAATTCATCAAACAACCAATGGTGGTCGATTATTAATTGTGATAATTGATTATCATGTAATGATAATTGATTATCCTTTCATGGTAATCAATTATTACTCACAAATAATCGATTATCATTTCTAGGAATCCATTATTCCAATAATTTTTAGTAAAAACAGTGTTCAATATCAAACAACCTCAAATCCAATTACTTTCAAAATCACTTTTCAAATAATCACGTGTTAACTTAAGGTTACTATAATTATTCATACAAATATTCTCAAAGATTCCTTTTCATCAAACCATTGAACTAAGTCAAAGATTTCTTACATTTATCACACTCAAAACTCAAATTGAAAACACCCAGCACCTTTTCCAACATTATTCACAATATCATCACTTAGAATCATCAACCTACCCATGTTCATAATCCAACATATTCATGGTTCAACATACTTAATATCCAATATACATAGTCCAAACAACCACTAAGGTCAATCACCTTGCCAACCTCCTTCACCAACTCTTCTCATATTCCTAAATGAATATCTTCAATTAAGCATAATCACAATTATATCATGGATACACCATGTTCATATCATCACAATATAGAAAACAAATAGAACGGTTAGTTCTCTCTACTAACCTCATATAATTACTCCTCTTGCTCAAGGTTAACATCCAATCATATAGATATCACAAATGTAATAGAGGAAGTTAGCCCCTACTTACATCTAACCATACATACAAAATTTGCATTATGTAGATCAATCATCACATATACAAAATCATCAATCCATTTATATAATGATTTCAACTCATCATTTCCATACCATCAATACTAAAATTTTCACATACTAAGTATCATCAATCTAAGTATTACGTCTTATCACAAACACAAAAATAATTAGAAATAGTAGCCCCCTTTACTCATTTCATTCATACTCATCAAGTATTCCTAATCAATCATCCATTCACTAATTCTTTAACTACTCATTTTTTTTGAAGTAGACTTATATGTTCTCACATTCATCACCATAATGGTATGGTTGAATGAAAACATAGACATATTGCCGATTTAGGTGTTACATTTTTTCGTCATGCTTAGCCGCACCCGACTTGTTTATAAGTGCATATTAAATTACCTATTACCCTTTATTCAGGTACCTGTTTGAAGTATTCACTTACTATCTGTGGATACCTGCGAACACAAGTATTTTTATCATCCCTACTCGTGAATGTACCTCTCTTGTTAATCCAAACACACAAAAATTCATTTCTTACTTTACTAGATCTTGCAAATCCTTTAACACTTTGGTTAATCTTAACCTTTAGTTTAGGAACTCAGCACATCTAAGTGCAATGTTAACAAGTCCATAATCTTAAGGTACTAGTAACACATCTGGATTCTAGATTTGAGTGCTAGTTTCCATGTGACTAGAGAACTACAAAATTCAAGCAACTAAGTCTTTTTGGTGGTTCAAATCAAATTTTCATCAAAAATGGTATAAGTTTAAATATTTATTGTGTTAGTTCCTCTTCATTTGTATCATATATTGTTTCACATAGACTTAAAAATTAGTAGTATGTTCCTTATATTAGTAAAAATGTACTTATTATTAGTCAATTTGTCAAACATATCCTTTCGTTGAATTTCATTCTCAGGTGTATTGTTAGTGCTTATGGACTTTAATCTTTTAACAATATCAAGCTTAAAGATCCCTTCTTCATGTCCATATCTTGACCATCCTTTGGTAGTTCAACCACTATTCACTTATTGTTCAATGTTGTTAGAGTTGTTAAACATATAAATTTTAATAAAAGATTTTATTTTGTTTCTTTTGTAGATTCTCTAACATCCCCATCTAGAATTGTAAGCTTGTGGCATACTATATTACGCAATTCAAACATGAAGCTTGTATTCGGTTACTTCAAAATCCATCTAATAAAACTAATTCTCGATTATGTTCTTTAATTTTGATCTTGTTGTGTAGGCTAGTCATGTAGGCCATCTTTTCATGACTTTGATTTTGTCTATTCTCTTTTAAAACTTATGTTCATTAATCTATGAAGATCTTCTCATATTATCATATGATAGTTATAAATATTATTATCTTTTATTGCTGCTTTTTTTCAAGTTTACTTGGACTTTTTCTATCAAATATAAAACTAAGCTATTGCTTGTTTTTCAAACCTTTAAATTTGTGGTTGAGTTGCATCTTAATAAAAAATATTCCGTTTTATTGGAATGGAGAATAATAATCATTCACTAATTCTTTAACTACTTATGTTATTTGTAGTAGACTTATATGTCTTCACTCATCATCAAAATGGTGTGGTTGAATGAAAACATAGACATATTGTTGATTTAAGTGTTACATTGTTGCATCATGCTTTCCTTTCTTTATAATTTTGGGATTTTGTTGTTTCAACTACAATCTATCTCATTAATAGGGTGCTTACAACTTCACTTCAATTTATTATTCCTTATGCTACTTTTTTCCATAAGGATCCTGACTTTTCTTTCATTAAAACTTTTTGTGGTATTTGTTTCCCTTTATTGACAACTTATCATTTAAATTAATTATTGCTATGAGAAATGTCTGTTAGAGTACTCTTTCTCACACAAAGGTTATAACTACTTGCAAAATATACATATCAAAATATATTTGTTTAATAAAAATCGATTTCCTTATGCGGACCTCTTTCCTCATGCTCCTATCAATGTCTTGAATCTTAATTCTTGTATTTTTCACATTCTTGTGGGCTGATGCGTTGACCAAGTCCCATATCTCGCATTGTATTTCTCATAGGCAAACTCAATGTGAAAAACTTTTCTTCTGAAGATTCTGCCTATTGAGTATGAAAGAAGGACAACCTCCATCTGTTGTAGAATAACTATAAATATTATGCTTGCAACTATTTTTTAGTAAACAAAAATCAAACCATTCAGTTCGATAATTTCAATTCTCTGTTTCTTAGACATTACAAAAAGACAATGCGATACATGTATGTATCTCTCCGTATAGGAATGTTGGCATTTGGCATTTGGCAATGGCAAGCTGCAAAACGAAAAGTTTTATAGACCTGATACATACCCACGTTGTCAGAGCCATGCTGTATCATTGTCAACCATAATTGTCCAACTGGATCCGAGTTCCCTATACTGTTGCTCCCAGGCTAAAAATCAACCGAGAAATAATATATGTAATAAACCCTTCATATAGCCAACGTTGGTCTGCATTCACAACCCCTATTGCCAACAATGTGAAGTGATTCACATAGCATCCATAAGCCCAAGGAGAATATACGTGCTAGCATTCATATCACTGTCATTGCTGAATGTTGTAGTCTCAGTGGTTAGTGCAGGGTCCTCTCCCCATGAGTGAATTAAGAATGCATCATTAGTCATCTGTTATACATCAATACATGCACTCAATCAAGTCTTAGCAGCAGCGGGATTCCGACCAAACTGTATAATCATTGGCTTTCCTTTTAATACATATCCATTCACCCGATTCTGCGGAACAGTAATATGAAATATGAACCATTACTAACACAAACAAGAAGATAACTTGATTGAAAACTTCGTATGGGACAGTTACTGAAATTTAACAATATTATTAGCATGTCAAACTCTAAATATTACAGTAAAATCAACAAAAAAAGCTGCAAGAATTTTGTAACAAAAAGACAAAACTGCAATACAAAAGGAAATAAAATATTAAAACAAAATCGTCTTGATAAAAATAATTAAAAACAACACAACCAATCTCCTGTGAAAAACATACCAGAGCAAGATGAGCCAATTCAACAGAGGGGAATGTCAGAAATGCTTGACCCCTCATTCGTCCTTCCTGAAATTGNAAACCTTTAAATTTGTGGTTGAGTTGCATCTTAATAAAAAATATTCCGTTTTATTGGAATGGAGAATAATAATCATTCACTAATTCTTTAACTACTTATGTTATTTGTAGTAGACTTATATGTCTTCACTCATCATCAAAATGGTGTGGTTGAATGAAAACATAGACATATTGTTGATTTAAGTGTTACATTGTTGCATCATGCTTTCCTTTCTTTATAATTTTGGGATTTTGTTGTTTCAACTACAATCTATCTCATTAATAGGGTGCTTACAACTTCACTTCAATTTATTATTCCTTATGCTACTTTTTTCCATAAGGATCCTGACTTTTCTTTCATTAAAACTTTTTGTGGTATTTGTTTCCCTTTATTGACAACTTATCATTTAAATTAATTATTGCTATGAGAAATGTCTGTTAGAGTACTCTTTCTCACACAAAGGTTATAACTACTTGCAAAATATACATATCAAAATATATTTGTTTAATAAAAATCGATTTCCTTATGCGGACCTCTTTCCTCATGCTCCTATCAATGTCTTGAATCTTAATTCTTGTATTTTTCACATTCTTGTGGGCTGATGCGTTGACCAAGTCCCATATCTCGCATTGTATTTCTCATAGGCAAACTCAATGTGAAAAACTTTTCTTCTGAAGATTCTGCCTATTGAGTATGAAAGAAGGACAACCTCCATCTGTTGTAGAATAACTATAAATATTATGCTTGCAACTATTTTTTAGTAAACAAAAATCAAACCATTCAGTTCGATAATTTCAATTCTCTGTTTCTTAGACATTACAAAAAGACAATGCGATACATGTATGTATCTCTCCGTATAGGAATGTTGGCATTTGGCATTTGGCAATGGCAAGCTGCAAAACGAAAAGTTTTATAGACCTGATACATACCCACGTTGTCAGAGCCATGCTGTATCATTGTCAACCATAATTGTCCAACTGGATCCGAGTTCCCTATACTGTTGCTCCCAGGCTAAAAATCAACCGAGAAATAATATATGTAATAAACCCTTCATATAGCCAACGTTGGTCTGCATTCACAACCCCTATTGCCAACAATGTGAAGTGATTCACATAGCATCCATAAGCCCAAGGAGAATATACGTGCTAGCATTCATATCACTGTCATTGCTGAATGTTGTAGTCTCAGTGGTTAGTGCAGGGTCCTCTCCCCATGAGTGAATTAAGAATGCATCATTAGTCATCTGTTATACATCAATACATGCACTCAATCAAGTCTTAGCAGCAGCGGGATTCCGACCAAACTGTATAATCATTGGCTTTCCTTTTAATACATATCCATTCACCCGATTCTGCGGAACAGTAATATGAAATATGAACCATTACTAACACAAACAAGAAGATAACTTGATTGAAAACTTCGTATGGGACAGTTACTGAAATTTAACAATATTATTAGCATGTCAAACTCTAAATATTACAGTAAAATCAACAAAAAAAGCTGCAAGAATTTTGTAACAAAAAGACAAAACTGCAATACAAAAGGAAATAAAATATTAAAACAAAATCGTCTTGATAAAAATAATTAAAAACAACACAACCAATCTCCTGTGAAAAACATACCAGAGCAAGATGAGCCAATTCAACAGAGGGGAATGTCAGAAATGCTTGACCCCTCATTCGTCCTTCCTGAAATTGAAAGTTAGGTATCAATTTCAGTCTCAGATATGCTACTACAAGACTTTCATGGATATATAATACAGGTTAGTTGAGTCAGCCTTCAATCATGTAACCCTGAACCGGCATGTTAATCAACTGGACCTTATAAAGATACTGTTTATTTTGGATCTATTTTTGCATAGACTCAACAGAAAAAAGTTGGTTACGGAATGTTAATGTCCTACCTGCATTAGTTTGACTTGAAGACCAGACTTAGCAGCCTCAACACTTTCAAATAAGGACCCTGTAGCAATAAAGGGAAAATAAAAAGTAATCGGTGGAGGTAACATCCATTCAATATTACAAAAATTTCAAAATATTTCATTTTGTTATTTTTATTATATCATGTTTCGTTTTTGGAATGTAAAACATTGAAATTGCATGTGATAAGTATAAAACAAGACCTGTATCCACTAGAAGTCTTGATAGCTTACCAAATATATAATAGAAATCATCAACAATCACATCTTTTGCCAAATTCTTAACATACAACACAGGAGCAGGATTTCCAGCTGTATAGTTCTGCACAGTACAACATATCAGTTAAAAAAGTCCCATAAAGATGTACGTGTGCACCATGGAAGGTCTAATAGATTATTTCTTGATCAACCTTTCAGAAGTCATAATACTGTAGTAGAAATAAGGAGAGAACCAGATAAACATGCCTCAAGGGTCAGGAGGAAATCAAGAAGAATATTCACATTCAGGGCGTGCAGATGGACAAGTAGCAGATAGAGAATGTACCAGAGAAGAATTCAACAAGGAGAGCAGTATAGAAAGTAGTGGTTGTTGAGAAAGGAGAACAAAAAAGTGAGGTTAGTTTTGGAGTGGAGGGAAGCAGGGTCCTCAAAGTTCCTACACTGTTGTTGTTTCTTTTTTTTTTTTTTTCACGAGTTACATAATCTCGGGAATGATATCATTTCTAGATGCCTAAAAATTGCATACTATTAAATCATACATAAAAATACTTGCTTTTATACGGGAAGAGGAACTGTTGGACAAAGGCATTTGGAGACTAGTAGGATCAACGTTTCCTTGATTTAATCACTTCATCGTCCAAAACTCAGTATCAGTACCCAATGAGGATGAAAATATTATGATTAACCATGGGCTGTGGTGAGACTTCAGATTATGTACGAAAACAATATTTGCTCCTCACTTAAGATGAAACCAATACAAGTTTATTGCACACAAACTTGCTAAAGGAGCATCTAAAAGATCAAGACTGGGAAACACAAGCTACTCCTAAATTTATTCGTGAAAACTGCAAGGTGACAAAATTGGTCCTTAACAGAGATAGGATAATTTTCAAAGGTAAACAATAATAAATCTTCGTTCACCTGCTCAACCAAGCAAGTGCAAAGTGATTTTAAATTCATCAACGTAACCTTCGGCTTCAGGTAATCAACTAATTAAATATAATCTGATAACATATTTTAGAACATGATTAGTTTAGAGAAAATTGTCTGTTTGTAGTTCCTGTTTTCACATACAATTACAAAATTGTCACCTTTTTTCTAATTGTTTGTTTCTGATTTTCTAATATTTGTGCAGGAAGTGGTGGAAACAGTGAAACAAAATGAAAGAAAGATGGTTTTTTTATTTAGAGAAAAAAAATAGCCCTAACACTTCAAAATAATTTTACACTGTCATCCTAATCACAAGATGCCCATCCTAATCACAAGCTTCCATGTACGGTAAGTTTGTTGACTTTAATAATAATTATTACCTTAAAAGTAATACCAACGGTGGTTTGTAATTAGATGACGTTGTTTTATGCTGTCACTGTATGGTCATTAAATTCTTTTACAATTGATGACGAAATTATTCCAATCCAAACAAGAAGTACATTTAATGAGATATAACTACATCTAGCCTTCTATTAAGACCAATTCATGCTCTGAAAATTTTAGAAGATGATATCACTTGTTAAAACTAAAAAAAAAAAGTTCAACTTCTGTTCAACAAAAGAAATTCCTCAAGACAAGTATATTTGTTTTGTTTCAAGATCTTTGAAGCAGATTGTTCCTATTTATATCCTCCAACTAGTCTTCAATCACATAATACAGTAACAAAAAAATTGTTCTTAAATCAACCAACAGAGCAAAAATTGGGAAATAACTTTGACTACACGGTGAATGTATGATTTCCAAAGTGGTGAAAAGCTTGCTTCTCAATGTTGCACATGTAGTACAAGAATGAAACTGTAAACGCAGATATTTTTATTAGTACCTTAAACATTGGAAGGGATAAGATTTCCTCAGGAGGCAACTTTCCTTTCTCTAATTCATCTGGAGTCAAAAATTTGCTAGGATCTGGAACATCTTTTTCTGGCTCTTGCAACTCTTGTGTTGTCTCATCATCTCTATGTTTATTTAGTGTTGCTTTGGGGACAATGTTTATCTGTAAATCATAATGAAAAACTAAAATAAAATGACAAAATCATTGTTAATAATTCTCCAAAAATCAATCTCAAAGAAATAAATACCTTTAACACATGGTTCTTTTTTATCACAGGGATTTCTTTTGGGACCAAGGTGGCTGGTTTTACTCCAACAGACTCATGAGCCACACCTTTATCAATAGCAGGGCCAACAATGGCCTCACGCCTGGCACGCTTTTGTCCAGACTTTTTTGTGCTTGCGTCACACTCCTATAAGCTTGTTATTAGTTTAAAAATAAATTGACTAAAGAGATAGGAAAAAGATATCACATAAGGGCTTCATATTTTATTGTTTGATTGTCAATTAAAATCATTTATATTTGAAAAAGAACATTTTCAAACTTAACGCCAACAGGAAACTACAGCATAAGCACATTGCAAAGTGGTAAAAAAGGAAATTTCTATCAAAATTTTACCTTAAAAAAATACATTAGACTAGAGGCGGAATGAAATAAAAAAAGGAACATAAATGTTTTATACCAATTCTGATATATTTAGGCAACCTGTATATGCAATTATAAAGGATATTCGCAATACTGAAAGCAGTTAAGGTGTTACCTCATCGGATGATTCCATCTCTGATTCACCACTGGACAGATATGCAGACTGAGGATTAATAGTTACAGTAGGAGGAGGTGGTGCTGGTACCTCTGGAGGTAATGGAGGTGTGGGCAGTGCCATACGAAATGGAGCAGGGATGTTCATTTTGTTCATCAAGTGTAGAACCTGCATTAGAGTGGTACAATCAATATGATTACTATTTGTCATCAGTTCCGTACAACAAGCTGTCAGAAAAAGAAACCAATCAATCTTAGCGGTCTCAACTAATGCTGGAACAACCTGTGTGTAAAAGCGCGGAACAGCAATTAGAGCATTCACAATATTTGTTAATATATTTCCATCAGGTGGAGGGTAAGCATACCTGGGAAACAAGTTGAGTTAGACTATATACAAACTTATCATACAAAATACCATACCACCCCCATCCTTGATTAATATTATGATACATAACAGTGTTAGCAAACATATTTAACAATCCATAATGCATTTTTTTATTTATTTATTTAGCAGCATAGCATTAAAAATTAACTTTATTTAGTGAGAGTTGCTCATAAAATAACATTTGGTAAAGCTACTCATGGTTATTTTTTTAAGTTTTCACTCCAAATGGTCAATTCCAAAAGTTATGAAAATGGAAAGGCAAGATAATCACAGAATCTAAATATTTGATACCATAAACGAAAGAAAAGAAGAATTATACACATAGTAAAGTATTGCAGTTTACAATGACATTTTGCTTTTCCTTGTAAGTTACTATTGAATCAAATGCAATAAAAAAAATACTCAAACACAACAATGTTAAGGTAGAGCAGACAAATTCAGAGGAAAGGGGAGAACATATAAACTGCTTATTCTTAAAAATGTTCTATATTCAAGAAAGCTTGTAAGAAGAACGTTTTCAAGTAAAAAGGGTTACAATGAGATTACCCTAATAAATCTGAGTTGGACAAAATTCTCAAAATAATTCTTTCAAAATGATTCTCACAATAACCATAGTTTTCTATCATTTTTTTCTCGTGAATCAATTCATTTCATTTTGTTAAATTATTAATCATATTTGTGAGCAATTTGGCACCTGGCATCCCTTTTTGCAATAGCAACAAATACTAACAAGAACTTTAAATAAGAAGCATACTCAAGATGAGGAGGAAAAGGATAATTGACACCAAGTCTATCAGCAATTGGCTCAGGAAGAGGGAGGCCTCTTGATTTTGTATCTCCATCAACAGGTTTGCCTACATTTGCATTCTTCAGCATTGATGTTTTAGAGTCCTTACCCAACTGATCATCGCCACTATTTTCACCATTACCAGTTAGCTTACTCGCTCTCTCTGCTGACAAGACTTTGCCAAGAAATCTCAACCTGATCAACCCAGAGTAAACAAAGATGCAATCATTTAAAACAAATATTAAGTTTTCTTTAAAATGTTTCAAAATCAGGAACCAATTCATAAAGATATCAAAAAACATTTCTACAATGTAAAACCAAACAAGAAAATTATATGCCAAGGCTGTCTCTTCAAATATGAAAAAAAAAATGCAAACGATTCAATTAATACTACCCATGTAGTTGACGTTGTGCTTGAGATGCCACCATCTCATTTTTGAAATCCGCAAAAGCACAATTTTTCATCCTGCATTATATCAAATTAAGATTAAAGCGTCATTTGGCAATGTTGATAAGCAAAAAATTGGATAAAAAATAATAAAATGGTCAAATATCATTCAAATCTTCCATGTCATTAAATAAAGAACATTTATGGATGACTTGGAAGCACAACCAAGGACAAAAACGAGATTCAAGTAGCATAGTAAGTTTACTGTAGGAGCCCAGTATAAGATAAGATGACAACTATCTTATTGATCGAAAATGTAAGAATTATAATCCCAAGAGCAAATCCTCTTCAGAGAAGAAATGGTCCTTCTCTTCCAAGACAGAGTATACACTCTTGACTCCCAAATTGAAAGTACATACTTAGGGGGACGTTTTTGCTCTCCTCCCTATGTATATGTATAGAAACGCTTAGAACTTTTCTTAGAAAGGGTATATAACAAATTTGAAGAGCAATATGTATAACATTGATATTAGGATGTCCTAATCTAAGATGCCAAATATAAACACTGCAAGTAGTACAAATATTGGACTCTAGCATTATTACTTATTAGAACAAACAGAAACATGTCTAGGCGTAAAAGGGAAACTTGAAAACTGAAACAGACCATCAGAACCAAGACGTCCATGAAGAAGGTCACTAGATTCCTGAGATTTTGCAAACCAATGGTGAGAAAAGAATTCAAAATAAATATTATTATCTTGTGCAAACTTACTTACACTAAACAGATTCTTGGTAATTGAAGAAACATGCAAAAGATTGTTAAGAGTTAAATGTAATTTTATACTTTCCCTCTAGTTAAGTATAAGTAAAAGGAAACATATGAACAAGGGAATCCTTTAAACATTGTAAGAAAATTGCAAAGTTGACATGGCAGCACAATACTCATAACAAGAGTTAACCAGGGTCATATTCAAACACTCAAGACTTTCAAATTGCAACAAAAGAAAAACAGTGGGAAAATCGAAACCTTTGGCAGTTAGATACCTGGAACTAGAGCAAGGGCGCGCCGAGAAAGCACCGAAATTTGCGAAGATTAGAGAAAGGGTGTCATGAGGAATGGCTTCTGGAAGGTGCTTAATCAAAAGGGTCACCGGTTCTGCCGATTCCGCGTCCAAAGGCTTTGATTCTGTGCCCTCCAACACAAACTGATGCACACGGCCATGAGGGGAAGAATCGTAAGCCATGAAATGCAGTGTGCTACTTCCTCTTCTGTATCAGAACTCAATTCAAATTTTAGATAATTTCATCATTTAATTCAAAAAGGAGAGGGCTCGGAGAAATGGTGCTTTGACACGCCGTTTCTATTTTACATTCAATTAACTGGCATCTGTTGGCGTAGGCTTTGGCAGGGCAAGGGTGATAATAAGGGTAATAACGGAAGAATAAAATTAAAAGGGTAATAAGGAAAAGGAGATTGAACTGAAAACAGCAAACGGAAAGGGAGATTTTCGATTTGGCTTTTTGATAGAATGTGAATTTTATTTTTTCGAAAGGATGATTTAGGGTTCTTGGAAGAAGGTGCGATTTAAGGGTTCCTGGGTTTTCGAAAGAAATTTGTGTCGTGCATTGGCTAGGACTGTTTTTTGGCAATGGTTATTGAGTCTAAGATTTAAAAAATGTACAAGTTTTATATTTGTATAAAAGGGTTACTTAAAGTAATATTGATAAGAGATAACCATTTATAGGAGATTTTATTATGTAAATATTTAAGTAATTATATAATTGAGAAAACCACTTACTAGATATTGTGTGATGTTAGTATTCTAATTGTTGGTGATTTTAATAATAGTTAAGGACAGATTTTTTTTGACAAAGGTTGTACATTATTTGAGATTATTAAAAAAAAAAAAGTTAAGTGCTACAATTTTTATATTCATACACTGACTGAAATAACCACATAATTGACGAGAGATTTATTGGACACTTTGTTATGATAACATTCTAATCGTTAGTGATTTTAGTAATAGTGTTTTAAAACGACAGAGTCTTAATTTTGAAAATAAAGCACAGATATATCAAATTTGGATGCTCTTCTGCACATGGGAACGTTGTAACGTCCATTTGGATGCTCTTCTGCAGGCTGCAACACTGACAATTCATTGAGAGGACGTACATCTTCCCCACACCTGTTAACAATAAAAATAGATTAAACTATAAAAGAAAGAAAGATGAGAATTTTAACGTTAGTTAGAAATGTTTAAGTTCATAGATAGGATACTACCTGCCATATATTGCAATATCCATGCCTGCAGCAACAGCTGTATCAGAAAATCGCTGTTGAAAATGTATATATCAAGTTGAGTTCACGAAAAGTTATAGAGATCAAAGATCCAAACAAAATGTCATTATAGTAATAGTACCGTACAAACCCAATATCAGCATACATCTACTCGGAAACATAGTATCAGGTTGGTTAGGACATAACAACAGGAGCAACTGTGATAAAATTCGAGTATTGGTTAAAAGCATGCTTTGATTAAGGTGATTAATCATCTGGATCAAGTCCATCCAGGTAAAAGTAATAACTACATTTATAAATAACATAAAAAATGGGGTAAGTTAATTATGTTTCATTTACAACATTTATTATTATTTCACGAATTTGACTGATTTGAACGTCAAAGTGCCTTATACATACATAACTCATCTCGGTCTTTGAAGAGATGTGGATCTAGTACATCCCGACTTGAAGGTGCAAAGTTGGAGCTTGGAATAGGCTTGAAGAATTGTTTGTGAAGATCTTTTTAAGGTATATTCGGCCTTGTAAGAACATTTTGGCGTCTACTGGGAGACTGACATATCTTCTGTGAAGAAAGACTATATGGTGACTACAAGAAATAAGATGACTTAAGCTAAGGAGATCAACCAAGTTTCACTAGAGATGACCATGTTGTTGGAAATGAAGGTGGAGGTTGCTAATTATAGAAATAGAACAACTGAAGATATGGACATATTGAGGCAGGAGAATGCCAAGTTGAAAAGGAGAGTTAAAGGATGTGAGAAGGGAAAGGAAAAGGAGAACTCAGAGAACAATGCTAATGTGTAGAAAACAACATCTCATCCTTGGACTGTACTAGAGGCTGAAGAAGAAAGCGGAAACAACAACACTCATAAGACTGGAGATACGACAAATACCTCATTCATAGTAAAATGAAGTTGTAGGCATCATAGTAAAGAATTGTAAATCGCAAGTTGAATTATAATCATGGTCATGATTCTTCTCAGTTTTACACAAGCTGAATTAACTAGCAAAACTGATGGAGTTTTTTGCAATGTTAAATGTGCATTCAAATATTCCTAAACAACGATTCCCTCCATTATATTCAGAATGTATTCAGAATTATAAATCACACTGCAGTAAAATATCCTCTGATCCTATTTATGCATGTTTTGCTAGTTGTGCCTCAATGAAGTCCATTACAAAACTGGTATGCACTTTCTCAAAATATTTACTAATTTCCATGGTTTTATATTTTTATTTAGGTTTTATTTTATTAATTATTTTTCATGACTTTGATAATTTACATTCTTTACTTATAATTTTAACCATTGACTTTAATTTCTTATCAGGTGCTCGCGACCTTGCAAATAACATGATCAATACATGCATGCAAGAGTGTACAAAAAACTTATAATTTGAAAGAAGATCTTTTGAGTGAAAATTTGATAGAAGAAATTGTATTCCTACATAATTTGGAGAAATAGATGTTGATCCATAAATTATATTGATATATTTTCATACTTTTGGTCTAACTACTTTCCTTCATCTTTTATCATTTTTATCGTTAGTATTAATAAAATTAATACAATAAAATAATTTTTTTAACAACATTATCATCAAATTCCATTAAGGAAGAACATTACAAAATATTCTTAAAAAATTGTGATATTTAAGTTTTATGAGCAAGGTATTAAAATTCTTTCATATTTTTCAAAACAAGATGTTTCCATATTTGTGATTATCTGTGTAACATCTTTATACCTTTTCCACGATTTCAATAACATTTTCTTATGTCATTTAGAGGATGATAATGTAACACTATAAATGACATGATTATGCAATATGGATTGATTATCCAATCAAATACCATTTATTAGTTACCATATAAAATTCATATTATAATGTTGTCCATTTAACAAAGGAGATCAAGATGATCCTTTTTTATGAGGAATAAAGACTAACTAGGAGGAAAATAAAATTGAGATACACATTTAATAATTCTTATTAAATATAATTTATTGACTACTTATTTTTAAGAGTAAAACCGTATAATAATTTTTCTCTATAAATTCTTGTTTAGCTGTCATGAAACAATACAAAAGATCTTACCTTCTATTCAACTTTTGGATCCTTTAAGAAAACTTAGAGAAGAGATATGGGGAAAGTTGAGATAAAAGCTACTAGAGTTATAATCATGGTCATGATTCTTCTCGGTTTTACACAAGCTGAATTAACTAGCAAAACTGATGGAGTTTTATGCAATGTTAAATGTGCATTCAAATGTATTCCTGAACAACGATTCCCTCCAATATATTCAAAATGTATACAAAATTGTAAATCACACTGCAGTAAAATATCCTCTGATCCTATTTATGCATGTTTTGCTAGTTGTGCCTCAATGAAGTCCATTGCCTACAAAACTGGTATGCACTTTTTCAAAATATTTACTAATTTCCATGGTTTTATATTTTCATTTATGTTTTATTTTATTAATTATTTTTCATGACTTTGATAATTTACATTCCTTACTTATAATTTTAACCATTGACTTTAATTTCTTATCAGGTGCTCGCGGCCTTGTAAATAACATGATCAATACATGCATGCAAGAGTGTACAAAAAACTTATAATTTGGAAGAAGATCTTTTGAGTGAAAATTTGATAGAAGAATATGTATTCCTACATAATTTGGAGAAATAGATGTTGATCCATAAATTATATTGATATATTTTCATACTTTTTGCCTAACTACTTTCCTTCATCTTTTATCCTTTTTATCGTTGCAACTGGAGTATTAATAAAATTAATACAATAAAATAATTTTTTTAACAACATTATCATCAAATTCCATTAAGGAAGAACATTACAAAATATTCTTAAAAAATTGTGATATTTAAGTTTTGTGAGCAAGGTATTAAGATTCTTTCATATTTTTCAAACAAGATGTTTCCATATTTGTGATTATCTGTGTAACATCTTTATACCTTTTCCACGATTTCAATAACATTTTCTTATGTCATTTAGAGGATGATAATGTAACACTATAAATGACATGATTATGCAATATGGATTGATTATCCAATCAAATACCATTTATTAGTTACCATATAAAATTCATATTATAATGTTGTCCATTTAACAAAGGAGATCAAGATGATCCTTTTTTATGAGGAATAAAGACTAACTAGGAGGAAAATAAAATTGAGATACACATTTAATAATTCTTATTAAATATAATTTATTGACTATTTATTTTTAAGAGTAAAAGGGTAAAATATTTTTTCTCTATAAATTCTTGTTTAGCTTTCATGAAACAATACAAAAGATCTTACCTTCTATTCAACTTTTGGATCCTTTTTGAAGACTTATAGAAGAGATACGAGAAAAGTTGAGATAAAAGCTACTGGAGTTATAATCATGGTCATGATTCTTCTCAATTTTACACAAGCTGAATTAACTAGCAAAACTGATGGAGTTTTATGCAATGTTAAATGTGCATTCAAATGTATTCTTGAACAACGATTCCCTCCATTATATTCAAAATGTATTCAGAATTGTAAATCACACTGCAGTAAAATTTCCTCTGATCCTATTTATGCATGTTTTGCTAGTTGTGCCTCAATGAAGTCCATTGCCTACAAAACTGGTATGCACTTTCTCAAAATATTTACAAATTTCCTTGGTTTTGTATTTTTATTTAGGTTTTATTTTATTAATTATTTTTCATGACCTTGATAATTTACATTCCTTACATATAATTTTAACAATTGACTTTAATTTCTTATCAGGTGCTTGCGACCTTGTAAATAACATGATCAATACATGCATGCAAGAGTGTACAAAAAACTTATAATTTGGAAGAAGATCTTGAGTGAAAATTTGATAGAAGAAGTTGTATTCCTACATAATTTGGAGAGATAGATGTTGATCGATAAATTATATTGATCTATTTTCATACTTTTGGCCTAACTACTTTCGTTCATCTTTTATCCTTTTTATTGTTGCAATTGGAGTATTAATAAAATTAATATAATAAAATATTTTTTTAACAACATTATCATCAAATTTCATTAAGGAAGAACATTACAAAATATTCTTAAAAATTGTGATATTTAAGTTTTGTGAGCAAGATATTAAAATTCTGTCATATTTTACAAAACAAGATGTTTTCATATTTGTGAATCAAAGTGTACCGTATTAAATTTTTTTCATAATTTAAATAACATTTTCTTACATCATTTAAAGGATGATAAGGTAAAACTATAAATGACATGGTTGTGCATTATGGATTGAGATACACCTTTAATAATTCTTATTAAATATATTTTATTTAGTAATTAATTTGAAGAGTAAAAAG